AGTCCGAAGTCCTCTGCCATAGTAGTTATCATAAATTTATTAAAAGAAACTAGAAAATGTATCTTAAAATTATTTGTTGAACAAACTATTTGCTAATATTTCTGAAAAATTTGGTATAATTTTTTTATTTGCAAAATTTGCAATTTGTCATATCAAAAAAATAAGAGAACGGGTTAGTAACAAAAAATATTCGATAATCTGGCAAGGATAAGGCGTAAGTGATGATGTTTCCTAAATTAGTTAGTAAATGTACTAAAATTTAAGGCTTCTACTGAGCCAGACTAGAAAAATAAAAATAGCTGTAAAGTGACAAAAGGTCTAACATGCCACAGATAAAAAGCGGGCTAAAGCTATCGGCAACTGAAGTTGCAAAACTGATGCCTTTACTAATGTAAAAATTATGAATAAAAATTTATATAGTTAAGAGATTTCATTGTTTGTCTCATCACAAAAGCAAAAGTTGTAAAATAATTAGGCCAACACATTTCTCAAGACGCTCTTCCTCGGTCTCAGAGAAACTAAACTGTTCTGCATATACAGACGTCATTGGAGCGTTAAACAATGTGACCAGCCGCGATCAGACCAACTTATGATAGCCCTAATTTTGGTTAGGATGTAATATTTGGTGAATCAGTTAAATAAATTATTGTCTTTCCCGCCCGCGTATTCCAGAATAAGGTTAATGTGGACATGCCAAAACATGCTTTCCCTTTCAGAGATGGCCTTTAATCAGTCCTTCCTTTCAAAATATTGGTCAGGTATGTAATTTACCGCTTGACTTAAGTCTTGGGCTTGGATTTATCTCCTTCGTGGTGGGGACAACGTTGATTTTCCTCTATATAAACCATCATATGAACGCAAAGCCCCATAATAAGCCGAGTGAGAAGAAGAGTACAAGTAGTCCCGAGAAAGCATACATAAGAAGGATGGCACTCTCTCATATGGTCTTCAGATACACTCATGAAGAGTTACGATGGGAAAAGTCCTGATCTGGATCATTTTAAGAAAGACTTGGGTTAAGAAATCTTCAAAAAATAAACAAACGCTTTCCAAAAGCATATCTGCTCATTAGTATTCAAGTTATCATGCCACAAAAGGGTAAAAACAGTTGAAATCATTTGTAGATTTAAACAGACCTGTTCCTGAGGAAATTTGTGATAGGAGGAGGGAGATTTTGTGTGAGTTATCGATGCTTCTTTCCTCAAAGACCAGTTTAATCTATCAGAATCTGTTATCGCACAGGCACCAGATTGCATTTTGTCGAGACTCTGATGGGATTGTGACCTCTTTTCTGATGTTTGCTTTGACTTTGCATGGGTGGAGGAGACTGGGCTTCGTTCCTTCATCGGCGCATCTTTATTTGGCCCACGAGTTCCAGAATCTTTGGATCTGTGCGGCAAAGAAGGGAGGACGTCGAAAGAATAATTCGTTTGGTTCGGCCTCCATGGATGTGGACCAGCCCCATCAGCATCTGCAATAAAGTAAATAAACATGACCAACTCAAAGGACTTAAAGTTAATCGGAATGTGAAAGGATATATGAAGTAAAGAGCCAAGAGTTAATGAAACATGACTTTGAAAAACCAAAAAACAGGTGGGCTTTACTCGTTTTTTAGCCATTCACATATCAATCACGTTACTAAGTTAGTATATATCCTACTTCATCAAATCCCTCACTCAGTCAATTTCTGGAATTCTTTCAGATTTAAATGCTTTTGCATTAATTGACAGATGACGATTACTTTTGTTTGCTTTAATATATAATGGCCAGTTAGAAGGATCAATCAACTGGAATGCTGGTAAGTAGAGTTAAAAAGACTTACAAAGAATAACTGGATCTCGACGAATCTCAAAAGACAATATTGTTGGTGAGATTTTCATTTAGCCTGAAAGTGCATGAAGAAGATATGCGAAGGTCGATCCCACCAGAAGACAACGGCTGATTTGAGTCGCATAGAAGCCGTTTAGTTTAACCACGACATTCCAGTTGACACAGTCCACGAGACATCTTCCCTTGTTTCGGGTGAAAACGGGCTGAGCTTTCGTCCATCATATGAGGGATATCTTCAGAGCTGGAACTCATTTTTGTAAAGTCTCAAGTTAACAAAAACTAAGTCAAGAAGTCTTCTCAGCTCTATTCTACCTATTATATACACTCATAAGTAAAAAAAATTGCATAGCCAAGGCTAAATGTAGAATGGTTTGACTAGTTATCCTTCATGTTGGTCATTCTACTTAATCCGAGTGTGTGTGTGCGTGTGTGGTTATGCATGTTAATGTCTATACGCTATTCCGATTATATACCAGAGTGATCAAAAAAGCCCAGTGTCAGGCTCTGGTCATCAAGTTTAATGACCAAAGAAAAAGACTGCGTAAGTCCGTAAGCAACTTTGGTTGAAATAATGGGATGTATGCTCGTAAGTGTGTAAGTCAGGTTACAAAACCACTTGTCATAACCTCTCAATCTAGGGTCTAACAACCCAAAAATATCAAAGAATTCAATATAATAATGGTTTAATGAAAATTTATGCATGTTTTTAAATAGTCGAAATGGCAGTCATAAACTCTGCATTTATAGACTCCTCTTGGATGTTAGTAGATGGTCAGTCCTAACAATAGCAAATTGAGTAGTCTTAACGCTTCATAAGTCTAGTTACTTGTGTGCAGATACAGAAATCTCTTACCTTTCGAATTCGAAATGAGTAGCTGTCTGCTCTTTTGATTTTCCCGGTCGATTACAGCAGCGTAGGAGTGTGGATCATCATCGTCTTCACAACCCCCATCCTCTCCTTCTAGCTTCACCCACTGAGACGCCTTGGCAACTCGGTTGTCTCTGCAAACTACCCTACGATTCGACTGTCCACGAAGATCTGAGGTCTCGAGCCGATCACATTCCAACTTTTGAGATTCATCCAGTGAGTTCGTTCCTCCACAAACTGCCAAGTCATTCGCGTTTTCGTTCTTAGACGCATACGAAAACGATTCTTCCGCGGCCGAACATGCCAGTCCTTTCCAGCGAGCTAAAAGAGCTGTCCTACTAAGTGAATTTAGTTTTGGTCGATCTGGTGCTTGCGAGTTCCGGGCGTCAACTGAACACCTTAAACGAACCATTTCTTCCGAATCATATCCATTAGCACTGTATCGGCCGTATCTTGTGGTATCGGTAGCTTTTACCCGGCAACCAAGATCTGCATTGTTCACTAGCGTGTCACTCAGGGCAGAGCTTGGTCTCAAGCCTGAGCCGAAAGTCGGTCGGCGGGGCTCCCGCATTTTCGGGGGAGAGCTGGCAGACGATGGCCGGTGACCGTCGGCTGGAAGGCAAGCTGAGGCTCCAGAATTATGGCATAGAGTCAAGTCTGTCTGAGCATCCACAAGCGGGTGCGCTCTGACGAGTTGATGATCCAGACTGGCATCGTAGGGACTGAGTTGTTTGTGGACAATACAAGGCGCCCTCCCGACCGAGAAAGGTTCGCGGTGGTTGGGCGCAGGTTGAGTTGACTGGGAAATATCATTAAAATGTTCTGTTAGGGGATTTACCGATGAGCCAGATAAGTATGGGTGCTGAGAAGAGACGGGAAATGCGATTATGTGAGTAGACGAGGTATGGAAAGGAGAAAATGAAGTAGAAATGGACGGGATTAGACAGGAGAGAACAGGACGGGAGGGAGTACAAGAGATCAGATCAGCACGAATGGTAGAGGTCGGGGAGGACAGGACCGGAGAGGAGAGGAGGAGATAGGACATATCAGAAATGAACGAGCAGTGAAGATAAGGACAGTTCGGAATCAGGCAAAAGGGAATAAGACAGATCAGAGCATAACATAGCAGAACAGGACAGGACAAAATAGAAC